GAAGAGTGCCTCATCTTTCTCCCATGGAACAGCTGGTGGGTGTAAGACCCTGACCCTTTGATTAGCAGCCTAATGCTTAAAAGGTGATTCCTTTTCTCTTTGAGTAACGTCACTGGGTGATAAATGTTAGTGGTCATGTTATGTGATAAAAAATGTGCAAAAACGATTACATGAAAAGGGAGCCCTGCCGGCACAGTGGCTATGCAATCAGCTGGCAACTGAAAGGCCGGTGGTTCAAACCCACCCACCAGCCACTCTGCTGGAACAGACCTGACGGTCTGCTCTTGTGAAGATTACATTTGGTGGAAGCTCTCGTGCAAGGTTGCAGGTGTTGGACTCAGCTTGGTGGTACACAGCAACCACACTTACCCTTATGTTGCAGGATCTGACATTTTGTGTTTTGAAAGCTGAGACTAATAACTGCCGTGACTTGATTATAACTTGACTAAATCAAGATGTTAAATAGAATTGTCATACGTTTATTAATCAAAGTAATCTAATTAGATTTACTAACATTTAAAAGTGTTGCTTTTAATAATTTGAATGAAATGTTCATGCCCATGTGCTAATTTGGTGCTTTTCTTACAGTTAACCCAGTCTCCACTCCCGTGGTTCTCCCCACCCCTGTTCTTTCGCCCAGCTCCATAGCCGATCTCAGAGATTTGAACTTGTCAGCTTCTTCACCCGTCATCAGTGTAAGTTTCAAAAGACTACTGTAGTTCAGTTTTCCAATGATGCCTTTGCTTTTGTGTTGCCCTGCAAATAATTGAAGTGGAATCTGAACTTTGAGCGGTTCCCCTTACAGCAGCCAGTCCTCTTCAGATACGGCCTTTGCATTTCGTAAGTAGTTGAAAACTGTGCTCTCTCCTCGAGGTTTTACCCGCTGAGTTTACTTATTTACTTACTGTGCGTATCTTTTCCTCTGGCACTGTCATATATTGGATACAGACAGGTGTGCTTTGCCACCGTGACTGAGTTTATGTGCATATTCTGCTGTAAAATGTTGATTGACATTTACAGACCTTTAGTGCTTTATTGGTTCTATTGCTGCCACACTGTTTCTTTGCCATAGATTGCCGAAGTAATGACTGGTTCATATCTCATTGTGTTATCATAATATTTTTATTTATATACCTTGTCCTAAAGGAGCCCTGGTGGCATAATGGGTTGTGGGTTGAACTGATAGCCACACGGTCAGGGGTTTGAACTGCAGCCACCCTGGAGGAGGACGGAGGGGCTTTCTGCTCCTGTGGAAGATGACTGGCCTCGGACCCTCGGGAGCAGTTCTCCTCTGTCCGGCATGGTCACCGGAGTCAGAATGGACTCTGTGATACTGCATTTGGTTTAGTGGTTACCCGACGTTTCCTCCAATCCATTTCAGTACACAGATGAGCCCCTGTGACGCAGCGCAGTGATTCCATGGGCCTTTTCTGGGCTGTAATCTTTACAGAAGCACATCTCTAAGGCCAAGTCGATCTCCCGTGGAGCTGAGTTCCCTAAAAAAAGTATCCAGTGTTTTTACAGGGTGTGAGTTAGGAGGCAAAAGACCTGCCAATCACAAAATAATGCCCAACCTGTGCACTTGTTCTAATGTCTGAAACTGCAAGAACTTTTCCTGTGTTAGCATATCTTAGACACTAACCTCTCGCTCTAAATCAAGCAGGCTGCCTAGGGTGTATAATCTACTGATATGCTTGACCTTTGACTAATTTGCTGTCAGAAATCTGACAGACAGAGAGTACAGCAAGTGTGAATGAGAGCCGAACGAGCTTGCATAGGCCTGGTTATCGAATGACCCCCAGGGCTGGGGAGGTGCTGTAGGCACATGAGCCTTTGGGAAGGCAGAGAGAACAGCGTCTGCCACGGGAAATACCGGGTTCTTATCCATTATCGCAACAAAGTTCCCCTTCGAGTTGACTGCGCGACGGGGCCATGCAGCACGAAGAGCAGTTCGGTGTGTTTCGGGCGGCTCACCGAGAATGGACAGGGGAAAGCCAGGAAGCCTAGAATGTTCTTTATTAGGTGTAGAGTTAGGTTCCCTCTCAGCCCCTCAGAAATGACAGAGCAGTTTGGGGGTTTCACTTCACCCTCCTGATGCCTGAGAGGAGCCCTGGTGGTGTAGTCCTTACTCAGTGGGCTGCGATCTGCAGGGTCAGCAGTTTGAAGGCACTAGAACTCTCTGGGAGAAAGACAGGGATTTCTTCTACCATAAAGAGTTACATTCTCGAAACTCACAGGGCATGTTCTACCCTATCCTATAGGATCGTTAGGAGTCGGTATCCACTCGATGGCAATGAGTTTGCTTTTAGTTTGGTCTCATTCCTAAAAAGAAAAAACCCATTAGAAGAGGCAGCAGGTGCAGCGAAGCTAAACAGAATCCCACTCATTCAAGTGATACATATTTATTGAGTCTTTGTGGAGGGCTAAAGAGAGGAAGCAGTGATCAGGATATCTATAGCTAAGTGTTTCCTTCCGCAAAGGGAGTCAAGAAGCCCCTAAGAACTTGAGAGGCAGTGAGGTTGTTGATAAATGTCAACTTGGGTTCAGGTATCAGATGCCCCAGGCGCAAATCACTGTCCTGTCCTGTACGAGCTGTGACGTGTCGATTGATAGTTTTTCGGCACCTCAGTTTCTTCGGGGATTCCTCTCTACCTTGGAAGTAGAGATGGATATGAGATGAAAGCGATAATACATGCACAGGTCGTAGAACAGTGACTGGCACGTTGTCATCACTCTATAAATATGAGCTAATATTTTCAAAAGTGATATGATAGGTGAAAATGGACCTTATACTTCATTAGCTATCAGAGGAATGCCATTGAGATAGTAAATCTGGTAGTAGATTTTCATCCGTCACAGAGAACTGAAAATCTCACCCTTTCACGAAGAAAAGCTGTTATTGAGACAGTTTCTTTAAAAGAAAAGAAAAGCACTCCAACCAGAGTGGGCCCAAGGTCCTGCCAGGTAGTGATGACCAAGTGAAGTGGAATGATGATATCCCCCCCCCCCCAGCACCACCACTCACTTCCCCGTAAAAGCTAACAAAATGGTTGTTGGGTTATTTTTTAAGTAAAAAGAAAGGAAGCAGTGGAAAATTAAAGGGGAAAGGGTAGGACTTTTAATTGTGTGATAACAGAAAATAAATGGAAAAGTCTAATGCAGTGTTAACATGGCTCCCAATCCAACCCCTATTCCCTCCTCACCAAAAGTACCTAATAAAGAAGGCAAATCCACAAAATTGTGAGTTTTCTCATTACCTGTAAAAGTGTGGATAGAAATAGAATAATATCCCCCTAGGGGAGATAGCATTAAAACCCTCAAAAAGGAGCAGTAGTGGTGTGGTGGGTTATCACATTGGGCTGCTAACCACAAGGTTGGTGGGTCAAATCCACCAGTTGCTTCTCTGTAGATCAATGAGGCTTTCTGCTACTGTAAAAATTTACATCCTCAGAAACCCACAGGGGCAGTTCTACCCCATCCTGTAGGATCACTATGAGTCAGCATCAACTCGATGGCAGTGGGTTTGGGTTTGATTTAGATACATACTATTATAAGGAGTCCTGGTTATGCTGTGGGTCAGGCATTGGACTACTGCCCACAAGGTCAGCAGTTCAAATCCACCAGCTGCTCCATAGGAGAAAGCTGGAGGCTGTCTGGTCTCATAAATATTTACAGTCTCTAGAACACTATGTAAGGTCACTGTGAGTTGGAACGGACTCGATGGCAGTGGCTTTGGGTGTGCCACCTAACATTGTGAGGGTAGTGGTGGTCCAGTGGCAGAATTCATGTCATCTGTGTCGTAAACCTGGCCTGAATTCCTGGCCCAGGCATCTCACGCATAGCTACCACCCATGTGTCAGCAGAACCTTGCATGTCGCTATTAAGCTGAGCCTGTTAACCCAGCACTTCCAGACTAAGTTGGACTAGGAAGAAGAGCCTAACAATCTACTGCTAATCACAGCCAGTAGAAATCCCCAGGATCACCACTGGCCAGCCCACCACCAACCCTGGGCATGGCGGAGGACTGGGCAGCATTTGTTCTGTCCTGCCTGGACGTTTTCCTCTCTGAGTTGGGAACTGGCTCAACAGTGGCTAACAACAACGGAATCTCAATGGAGAGGAGCTCTTTTTTTTTTTTGGGGGGGGGCGGGAATTCTGAATTAATATTCAAGATAAAAGCATAAATCCATAATTTAAAAACCAACATGGTACTCTCATTGAAGAGAAAGGAGAAATAAACTTAATTTGTAATGAAGTAGTACTTGCAGTCACATGTAATTGCTTGACCAAGACTACGCTAAGAAGTAGAACAAAGCGGCTAAGTGATACTTGCACGGGGAGGTGCACACACAGATTGATTTAGGTGCGTTTGCTGTATGGGTAACTATGCATTATGGTGTGGCTGTCAGTGGCATAATTTTCCAAAACATTGAATTGTTTTTGTGAACCAAAGTTGTTGTATTCCTGGAAAATTGAGTATTTTACAACTTTGCAAAAAAATATTTTGTGTTTATATATAAAATAGAGGTAGGTTTAAGGATCGGGTGATTTTAAACAAGTTTTCACCTCACAAATGGCAACTAGGATATTTGAAACCCTGTGAAGGGCACGGTGGTGGTGGTGTTAGGTGCCGTCGGGTCAGTTCTGAATCAGAGCACAAAACATCACCTGGTCTGGCACCGGGCTCACAATTGTTCCTATGTTTGAGCCCATTGTTGCAGGTACCAGGCATGACACAACCATTATTTGTATGAATCTGCTCTGTTCTTGGCAGGACAGCTCCCACTCTGACCTCCAGCCTCTGAATGCTACCAGCACCCTTACTGCCTCCGATTCCCAGCACTGGTAACCTCAAACATTCGGAGCAGTGCAATGTGGTTAAAGCAAGACGACAGGCACCAACCACCTGTGTTGAAATCACGACTCTGCCACTTTCCAGAAGGAGTGACCTTGAGCAAGCCTTAGGGTTTTTACCGCCTAAAAGAGAGAATAATGCTACCTCATGAGGTTGTTGTTAGTATTAAATTAGTTAAGATACATTTATCTGCTTGTAACAGTGCATATTATGCACTAAATAAGCAATTGCTCTTACTAGTTTTTATTATTACAACTCTGTAAAGAAAAGGATGACCCAAGAAAATTAGGTTATAGTTTTACTTTAAAGGCTGCAGATAGGCTCAGGCTGCAGTTAGTCTCAAGTATGAGTCTTTTGTTGAAAATGTGGGGAAGATAAGGACACTGCATTGCCAAAGTTAATTAAAGCATGATTCAAATTATTAGAATCATTATCTACTAGATTATAGTCACAGAATTGAGTGTAAATAATGTCATAAGAATAAAAAAAGGGACCAAAATTAGGAAAAGATGAGAAGACATCCATGCTAATCATCTCAACTTTTTTCATAAGAAAATAATCTATTATATGCAAAATTAGAACATTTTAAAAATTAAATTTAACCCTCTTAATGGTTTGCATATACTTAAAGAACATTTATCTGACGTTTAGGAGCTTTTGTAAATATATCATTTTCCCCCCTTCAATTAAACATAATTCTAACTTAATTTACCTATTGACTTGTCTGTATACCTATGCGTGCATCCATGCATATTGAGGGTCCTATCCTGGTAGTCGAGGATCGCTGCTGTGCTGTTCGTGGCTACCATGGGCTTGGTCTCAGCTCACTGCCGTGACCTC